GCTTTCCGGTTAGCTCCGTCCGCTGTGTCGTTTTTTATTCGTTCTCACGTTGAGTGATGGATAAATACCCCTAGATTAGTTAATCGAGAGTCGCGGTTCGTGTTGATTTTTCTCAGTGTCGGAAAATGTCATTATTAGATTCATAACCCTGTCTTAAACTTAAGCGTGGGATCATTATCGTTGGGCCCGCGTGATATCGGTGTAAGATGATTAAACATTTCATCTTCTTTTGAGTGTCGGTCCGCGCTATCGCTCTTATTATCGCGGGGATTATTTCGTGGCCTGGCTTAGCGCCTTGGTACCAACGCTGTCTGATGATTATTTGATGTTGATTATCGTTTTCCATGATGCTCGAAAGGGTATTTAATGTTTTATTGTCAACGCTATGAGAGAGTTTTTATCGTGGATCTCTCGATTCTAGGCAAACAAGATTTTGTGGCTGGAAACTTCTCTCGGATTTGTATTATCAATTGAATTTGTTCATAACTTACTTTGTTGATTGAACGGTCGCGAAACGAAGAAATCGTGGAGTCTACCGGACGTAACACAAGGATCAACCGATAGCATACGCTTCGCGAACTCTAACGGAAAACGAAATAAAATACGATACTTATGAGAAAGAAGCCTTATCTATAGTATATTGCGTCAAACATTTCAGACCTTATGTATATGGACGAAAATTTACTCTAATTACAGACCACAAACCTCTTCTCTGGTTTAAAAATGCACAGGATGCAAACATGCGAATACCCCGCTGGAGGTTAAAACTAGCAGAATATGACTACGACGTATTATACAAAGCAGGAAAGACTAATGTAAACGCTGATGCATTATCAAGAAATCCTATAGATTTCAAAGAAACAAATTGCAATATAATTAGTCATAATAAACCTTTAAACCCTAATAATCCAGAAGATACAGAAGTAACTTCTACAATGCTGAAGACTCCGATGAAGAAGACGAGGATTACACGCTATACCTTTCAGACGATGAGGAGAAAGACTTGGACCCACCGATCAATGATAACCAGGCTGGGGAAGATTTAGACTCTCCCTCGACTACGCAAAAAGATGCGAACCAACAAAATTGCCATTAAAGAGGAGAATGCTAATACAAGATCCCTCTAACGCTAATAGAATACAAACTCGAAGCTAAACGAGAAATAAAAACATTCACGAAAGAAAATTATTGCAACAGTCACAAGAAAATGAAGACGAAATTGAAGAGATAGAAAATAGAAACGATCCATCAGACAAGAAAAATGACACCGAGGACGACGCAAGCAGTAAAGACGGAAATCAAGAATCAAAAGATAATGAAAATAATAGAAATAAAAACTCGGGAGTAAAACCTACCATCACCAACATTCAAACATTTAAAAATAATGTAATTGATAGTCGTGATTTATTATTCCTACGTAAGGATAATGTCGCATACTTTGTAGACCAAAGGGAAACCACTAGATTCGGGTTCGCAAAAACTATTCGAACGGAACGAAATTCCAAACTTGAATCCTCTTACCTTAGAAGAAGCTAAAGCAGTAAAATATAAGAAATACTATCATATAGCCTTGCCTATCAGTGACGGACAACGCGAAGGACCAACCATGACTCTCACTCAAATCTCTGCGGCAATTAAAAACTTACGGATCGCCGCAGAAAACCGGAACTTAGAAACCCTTAGCATTGCGAAAACGGATTATGTTAATAATGTACCTTGGAGCAATATTAAAACCGCATGGCAATTAATCTTTGTCGATTCGCCCATCAAATTAATTATATGCAACGGGCTAGTTAAATATCCACCAAAAGATCTTCGTTCTGCGATAATTGGAGAAATTCACTGCTTACCTACAGGTGGACACAGAGGTGTTACAAAAACATATAATAGAATAAAATACAATTACTATTGGGAAAATTTGAAACCTGACGTACAACGCTACATACAGCAATGTTTGCAATATCAATTAAAAAAGTTAGTACGAGTAAAAACCAAACAACCTATGATGATTACTGATACGCCACGATCTTCATTCGATAAGGTAGCCATGGATATCGTGGAACCTCTATCTAAAACTGAGAAAGGAAATGAATACATACTAACGTTACAAGATTAGTTAACTAAATTTTGCATGGGTATACCCCTGCCAGATCAAACCGCCGAGACCGTAGCAAAAGGCTTTTGTCGACAGATTTATCTGCATATTAGAGGCACCCAAGGCGATATTGACAGATCAAGGAAGAAATTTTATCAGCGAGTTAATGAAGAAAATTGCATAGTTATTCAGGATTCGTAAACTACGTACTACCGCCTTCCACTCTCGATCAAATGGATCATTGGAAAGATCTCATCATGCGTTAGGCGAATACTTAAAACAATACGCCAATGATCAAAAACAATTGGATAGGTGGATTGGATTAACAATATTTAATTATAACACTAGCATCCACGAAGCCACCAAACATACTCCATATGAATTAGTATTCGGCAAAATAGCAAGAATGCCGTCAAACGAATTGTTAGGCCCAGAAGACAAATTGGCAAGTTATGATGAATATCTGATAAATCTAATTACGCAGCTTCACACCATCCAAGGAAATGCTCGCGAAAACGTAGTAGCAGCCAAAATTAAATCCAAAAAACATTATGATAAGAAGATTAATCCGCAACTATTTAAACCGGAAGATTATGTGTTCTTATTAAAGGAACCAAAACCGGGGAAATTCGGAGACCAATATACAGAACTTCACGAAGTGAAAAAAATATTAAATCAAAATAACATAAAAATTAGGATAAAGAAAAACAGTCGAATAGTACATCCTAATAGATTGCGAATCTCTCACATAAAACCGGCTCTCAATGATTAATTCAGAATAATAATAACCAAATAAAATTTCAGATGGATCCCCGGATGATTGGACGAATTATGACAATAATATTATTAATATAAGTTGGACTCAAGGAACTTATGGGATAATAGGCTACGATTGCGGATCACTATTAGCAAACATAACCACAATGTCATTACTTAATATCGAAGAATGTGACACCGCAAAGGGTGAACAAACCCTAAAATATATACAACTCGTTCAAATTAACAAATTCAAATCTGTGAGGGTAATCCAATGTAAAGTAGAGATCGATAGAACTGTTAACAAATGTGGAATGTTCTCTCACACTATGGATGTACACAATGGTAAATACTCGTACATACAAGAAACATCTCGCGAGGCATGTGAGAGGATGCACATTATGGGATATCTTCAAATGGGGCACATCCACATAACCGGACTAAAACCAAATCAGACAGACTCTCGAGCAGCCACCTTAGCAGGGCAAGTGGATAATGATGGAGCATGTAGCAGAAGTACGTATTCCGATCCCTATGGAACATGGACCGATGTTATTGTACTAGCAACTATAACGATTACACTATTAGATTACCATGCCACTGTACGACTAAACACTAATCGGGTAATATTACGATCAGGTATAATTTGCGAATTTAGCACTACCTGTGGCGCGAGGTAGAGAGCGTCCATACAGATGGCGTGATGTAGAATGGTGGCGCGTGCGGCGGAGAGCATGTATAAAAGAAGTTGTAAGGCTCTCTCTCTATGTTCACTTTCGCTCTGTTTGTTTTGTAATCTTAACGTGATTAAACATATTAAGCAATACTAAGACTCGATCAATTGTGGCACCCAGAAAGCACAACATGGTGACAGCATGGTAACCTGCGAGCCGCATAAAAAAAACAGAACAGAAAAATAGGTTCGTATACGAAATAAAAGCGGAGAGAAAATAAGACGCCAAGTGAGGTTAAGTGCACACGATGCCGGACAATGACGGTGACAACCCGCGGCCGATATACGTGTCAGCAACGGCGCAATTACCTCCGCCGCCGAATTTCAGTTTTCGATCGGAAGATTGGTAAAGATGGTCAACGAGATGGGAGAGATACCGTCAAGGCAGTGGCCTAATGAATCAATCTGAGGAAACACAGGTTAACCAATTTGCATACTTAATGGAACCGCGGGCGGAAGACATTCTGCTATCATTCAATCTTAACTAAGAGCAAGCATGTAATTATAAAGTTGTAAAAGAAAAATTCGAAGAGCACTTCGGAGCTCGCGTAAACATAGTATTAGAGCGAGCAAGGTTTAATAGACGTAAGCAAATGAACGAGGAAACCGTAGAAAATTTCATCGCTGATCTATATCGTCTAGTAGAGACATGCAATTTTGGGGCACTAAAAGACGAACTCATAAGAGACCGCATAGTAGCAGGCATAAAAGACATAAAATTATCCGAAGCGTTGCAATGTGACCCAGAACTTACGTTAGAGAAAGCCATTAACAAAGTAAGGACGAAAGAGGAGGTCAAAACGCAACAGGCAGTCATAAGAGGCATGGAAATGGCAGCTAACCTTGATCGAGTACGTAGCTCTCATGGAACACATAGCAAGCGAGGTTTACCAAATAGATCTCAGCAACAGCGGATGAAGGAAGAAACGACACAAAAAAACTGTTGTAGTCGGTGTGGCATTACGCCGAAGCATGCATTTTCATCATGTCCGGCCAAATTATCAGAATGTAATAATTGCAAGAAAAAAGGGCACTGGGCAGCTGTGTGTAAAAAGAAAAATATACATGAGGTAAACAGAAGTGACGATGACAAGAAGGCCAATGAAGATGACAAAGAAGATCTATATCTGGGTGCGAGCAATGGACAAGCCCAGAAAGAAAGGAAAAGGACAAGAGGATCTACAGATCTCGAGAGTGGCGACAGAAACGACGCATGTAGAACCACCATGGATGGCTGAGGTAAAAGTGAATGGAGTGAATATACCATTCAAAGTGGATACCGGTGCAGATGTCACGGTAATAAGCGAAGAACTTTACGCAAAACATTTCCCTGGTACAACGTTAGAAAACACAGGAAGAGGACTACGAGTAGGAGATTCCATACCTCTCAAGGTACTAGGAAAGGTATAAGCGAGAATGGAATGGCGCAAGAGAATAGCTACGGACGTCATTTATGTGGTGAAAGAAGGTATGCAGCCGTTGTTAGATAGGACGGCAATCAAAACATTGGATATGTTAGAATGGATAATAGATACCGTTATTGCAGAAATAAGTAACGTCAAACCAGAAGAAGAATTCAGTAAAGTATTTCAAGGTTTAGGTTGTTACAAAAAGTGTAAACCATATCATATTTGTCTTAAGTCGAATACTCAACCATATGCAGTTTCAGCGCCACGTAGAGTTCCATTACATCTCACGCAAAGAGCCAAGGAGGAATTACAACGGTTGGAAGAGATGGGAGTCATCAGCCGAGTGGTTGAGCCAACGCCATGGTGTGCACCAATGGTTGCGGTTCTCAAAGCAAACAAAAAAGACGTTAGAATCTGTGTAGACTACACAGAACTCAATAAGGGCGTCGTGAGGAGCCGTCACATCATGCCAAGTATTGAAGAAAATCTAGCCCAACTAGGAGGAGCTCGTTGGTTTTCCCTTTTAGATGCGAACAAGGGGTATCATCAGATGTCAATATGTCATTGTTGTCGACTTCTCACCACATTTATTACGCCGTGTGGGCGTTTCTGTTTCAACAGACTACCAATGGGTTTGTGTCCAAGTGCAGAGCATTTCCAAGAAAACATGTCCAAAGTATTAAGTGGACTTCGAAATGTAGTAAATCTCTCCGATGATATCTTAATTTATGGAAAAACCCTCGAAGAGCATGATGAATGTCTTCGAGCAGCATTGCGACACCTATCAGACGCTGGAATTACACTAAGTAGAGAGAAATGCGTTTTGAGACAAAGGCGTGTAAAATTCTTAGGATACGTAGTATCAGCAGAGCATGGAGTAGAACCTGACCCGGAGAAGATAAAAGCCATTGTTGAAATGTCAAGACCAACCAATGCTACTGAGGTCAAAAGGTTACTAGGAATGATACACTTCCAGTTAAAGTTCATAAAACACCTCGCTGATATTACCAGACCCCTACGTGAATTGATGAAGAATAGCGTGGAATTCATATGGGAAGCACCGTAAGAGGAAGCCTTCAATGAAATTAAAAGAAGATTGACACAAGCTCCAGCCCTAGCTCTTTTTAACACGGAATGGCAAACGCGAGTTTCGGCAGACTCGTCGTCATATGGACTGGGAGCAGTTCTAGAGCAATATGATAAGAATCAAGAGTGCTGGAGACCAGTTTATTATGCATCAAGAGCCCTTAGTGAGACGGAGAAGAGATATGCTCAAATTGAAAAGGAGGCCTTAGCATTGACATGGGCTTGTGAGAAATTTGCAACATTTATTGAGGGAGATCAGGATCTCATCCGGAGGACGGATCACAAGCCGTTAATTTCAATTTTAGGATCCAAACCCATAAGTGATCTCTCTCCGAGATTACAACGATTTCGCATAAGACTAATGCGATTTATATATACTATTGAATATGTTGCAGGAAAGACGCTGGTGACGGCAGACACACTATCACGTGCACCTATATCAGACATCTTAGATATCTGTGACTGCATGCATGAAGAAAATGCGGAAAAATACGTACATACGGTGGTAAAAAGAAGAGCATCGGACCCATTTTCGAATAAAATATACGAGATGCAGCAACAAGATCCGACGATGCAAGAAGTTCTGAAGCATGTGAAGGAAGGATGGCCTCGGTATAAAAAAGATGTATCGCAGAAGATGAAACCGTACTATGAGGTAAGAGGCATCTTAACGACTATAAAGGAGGGTCTTATTATGTGGCACTAGAGTTCACATACCGAAAGGTCTGCGAGAAGAGGTATTGAAACGAATACACCAAGGTCACTTAGGTGAGAAGAAATGCCTAGGACGAGCCAGACAGGCTGTATGGTGGCCAGGCATCAGTACGGATGTGAAAGCAAAGTGTACCAATTGTAACACGTGTTTGGAATACCGACCACAGATCAGAGAACCGCTAATAACAGTAGAACCTCCTGAGCGGCTATGGCAGGAAGTGGCGGTTGATTTTTGTGACAGAGACGGAAGACAATATCTGGTGTTGGTGGATTGTTTTTCTCGTTATCCAGAAGTCGTTCATATGACATCGACCACGACAACCAAAACCGTTGCAAAGATGAAAGACATTTTTGGGAGACATGGAATCCCAGAGAGAGTGCGCTCAGACAATGGTCCACAATTCAGCAGTCAGGAATACAAGGAATTTGCTAGAAATTTCGGATTTACCAGTGTTACAAACAGTCCGAGATATCCTCAGAGTAACGGAAAAGTAGAGGCTGCAGTGAAGGCTGTCAAGCGCATTTTAAAGGAGACCGAGCCCACATTAGGTCTATTGGCGTATAGTACTTCACTCTTAGAAACGGGCAGTAGTCCATGTGAACTATTGATGGGCAGGAAGCTTAGAACTACAATACTAAGTTCAGGTGCAATGTTAACTCCGGGCTGGCCTGATTTAGAAGCACATAGGCAACAAATGAGAGCAAGGCAGTTAGATAGTAAACAGCAATATGATAGACGACATCGGACAAGAGAATTACCAGAACTCAAGCCAGGTGAACTTGTATGGATACGAGATCAACGGACATATGGCACCGTGATGCGTCGCCGGAGCGAACCAAGGTCTTACGACGTGCGATATCCAGGCGGTGTGTTAAGACGAAACAGAATATTTCTGACGGCAGTGCGGCGAGAGGTGGACGACGAGGATGATGACGATATAGCGTGGTCAAGCGAAGCTGAAGCACCAAAGGTGACGGATAAAGAGGTGGAATCAATCAGACAGCCGGAACTACCACGACGAAGCAGCAGGCAGCATCACTCGTCGAAGCGACTACAATATCAAGCATTAGGCGTACCGTCATAAAAAAAAGGGAATCGTTAAACGAAGTTGTTTTGAGTAAAGTTCAGTTTCTTTATAAGTGGCCTAAGACAACAGACTTACGTATTTGTTTGAATTTTCTTTTCATAGGCCTTAATTACTGTTTTAAGTTTAACCAGAAATTACTTCAAATGCCGTCACAAACATTTATTTGATATATAAAAAGGAGGATGTGGCGCGAGGTAGAGAACGTCCATACAGATGGCGTGATGTAGAATGGTGTCGCGTGCGGCGGAGAGCATGTATAAAAGAAGTTGTAAGGCTCTCTCTCTATGTTCACTTTCGCTCTGTTTGTTTTGTAATCTTAACGTGATTAAACATATTAAGCAATACTAAGACTCGATCAATTGTGGCACCCAGAAAGCACAACACTACCCATTGTATGGATGTTGAAGGAGGAAATACTTATTGGAATGCTTTACCTGCACGAGACTCTTGTGGGATATCTAATTATGGCGCACTTTACACTGGACTTGCGGAAATATTAACAGACAATACGGGGGTACAACGTCAAATAGTTTACACCCTAAATTCGCAAGATACCGTTTTTGCCTTAACAAAAAAGTGGATAGAAACCATGTGCGGCCATGTTCTTGTACGAACCGAACACCCGAAATTATTAATTTTCGAAACAACGTCCGATAATAAAATTTTCAGCAAAGTGTATAAACCAGAAAATCTCGACATTTTTACCTACATGAACTCTAAATTGTGTAGAAAAATATATACGCACCCAAATAAGCCAGTTATACCGAAATGTACTTCAACAACCGTGTAATCTCGAACAGAAAATATTAAAAAATGCCCTAGCTCTCGCCACTCATTCACCGGATGCTTTTGCTTATCACGTAATGCAAGGACCTGGATACATGGCTTTATTGGCCGGAGAAGTAATATACATAGTAAAATGTGTGCCAGTCGAGGTAAAACTCGCCTCAACTCCAAAATGCTGTGATCAATTACCCGTAATCAGAAATAACAAAACAGTTTCTAACACCACAAACTCACATGGTGCGACAAGGAACGCAAGTCACCTGCAATTCACTCGTATCTACCATGTACCTTCTAGGAGACTCATGGTATCGGTTTACGCCCTGACCAGTAGAAACTTAACCACCCATTGTACTAAAACCAATGACCATACCAACCTGGAAATATATCAGCCCCGGATCACTCGCCACAAGCGGGATATATTCAGATGATGACTTAGAAACCCTACGAGATCATATGTTTCCAGCCGAACGACCATCCATACTCAATACCGTAGCATGAGGAATGATGGGACAACTAGGATTCCCATTTGTAAATGGAGGTTCGTTCTCTAACTTGTTAGATGAAGCATCAATAGAAAAAATATCCATATCCGCCTGGGAAAAATTTTGGAACAAATTCCTAATCTTCGGAAATATTAGCGCTGGAATAATAAGAATATATATAAGCACAAGAATTATAAAACTAATTTTAGATACAATTGTACATGGATATGCTCTACATATTGTATATGGGTGGTCAGTGTTCTTAATAGGAGCCATTTAGCTAATAGGGATTCGCTTACCAATTTTTTAATACACTTAGGAAAGGAGAGGCGTACAAATAAAAGCATAGTTGCTTCCGCTCCCGCCGAGCCAGAATCTAAAGGAATAAAATATTCCGTAGTACGAGATGACACGAGAACAGAGTCCAACTATCCTGTCCTTCCTCCCAAGGAAGCCTCCACCTATACCCTTAAGCTAAAAGGGTAAATGAAGGGAATCTCCTCCGCCTAATTAAATTTCTTCTGTCTCTTCACTCCTAAAAGAAAAAAAAGGAAATACACATGAGCAAAACTGCATTGTGTTAACAACAGATAACAATACTTATAATTCTTTTATAGATAACAATGGAGATTACCTGCATAAACACGCGACTTCTAACACGCCCATTGAAAGCACGAATAATAAGAGTAGACTCACCCACCAAATTTTGGGTGCAGTTTAATAACAGTCACGACTTCAAAGAATTAATATAAGAACTCACTCGTCGGATGACGCGACGACGCCGATTCCTGCCTCTGCTACCCAATCACACTCACTTGAACGAGATGGTAGCGGTCCAGGAGGGACGAAAATGGCAGAGGAGGATCCTCACCCAAATTTGAGGGGATGGAATAGCAATAATCGCCCTAAGAGACTGGGGGCGCACCATCGAACGACCCTGTCAAGACATCTACATAAAGACTCGAAGATAGATTCCGTGAGTTGGAATGGCAAGCAATCCCCTGCGTGCTTGCCTACACTGGACCCAACCTTGTAAAACGGACGTGTCTCGATGGACAAGATAGCTTATCCAATTCCTAACGGAGCGGCGCGAAGGATGGATCAGCATCGTGGGAGATATAAACGAAGAAGCTGCGCTTGTAAAACTGGAAATAAAAAACGAGTGTGGCACAGAAGTACAAAATGTTAAAGACATTTTAATAAGTCTAGGTCACGCATGGCATAACGAAAAAAAATTGGAAGCTGTACAGCCTTCTATTGAATCTGTTACATTAAAAAGAAATAACTAAGAATAATTTTTTACCCGTAACCGCTCAAAATATACAAATTATTATTAGATGATCCACAATACATAGGAAAAAACGCGAATGAAATGCGTATTATTAGAATAAAAAAAAAAAAACACCTAAAAAATATATACATTAGTAATAATAAAATATTAGCAAGAAAAAATATATATAATGATAACAGTATAAATAATAATAATAGTAATAAAATAAAATGAAATAATAAAGTTAATTAGTATTAACTATTGGAAAAAATATACATATATATATTAATAACGACATAAGTTTTCATATAATATTAAGAAATGTATATTTAAAAAAAACGAAAAAGATATAAAAAATTAGCTATACAAGAAAAATATATACATATAAAATCTTTTCTCTTTTATTCTGGTATTAACTATCTAACAATATACGTAAAATTATATTAATAGTAATTAAAATAGTAAATATAATAATTGTGCAGTATATATATATATATATATGTATATATATACGCCTAAGTGTTACCTGTTTTGAAATTGTCAAGCTAAATTACAGTACATGAAATGCCTGCATACCGTTACCTCTGTTGCATCTTTGGCCAAAAATAAGAAGAGCCACTTGTATCAACCAGAGCAGAGAATCAGTGGGATGCCTATCGATATTTGCTGAAACTCCGGTGCGTTACTACAATGGAAAGGCGAGTCTACCAACACACCTTCTTTAAAATTTGTTGCTACTGCTATGGAGAAGTGGTGGCCGAATGGAAAAACCAATATGTTTTCGCACACGTGATAATTCACGAGGATTCTGTCCGTAACCAGACGAACTGTGTGACCTGCGGTACAGTTATTATACGAGTACAGCCTACAGAATGCCCAAGCTGTATCGAGGGATTTACACATACCGATAAGGCACAACTGAACACAGGATAGGGAATACGGTCCCCACACATGACGCTTTGGACGGCTCCTAATCTAATGTAAGCATTTCATGTCTAGGTTTCGATCGTTGTAATCTCATAGGAAACAACGCATACACACATATATATATATACCACTTTAGAATAACCGTTGAATTTCTTAAATTTCTTAAATATATAAACTTGAAAGTCCATAAAAAAAAATAAAAAAAATGTTTAGAGTCTTAAAGCCAAAAGAACTAGATACATGTATACATATATATATATAAATAAAAATTAAAAAAAAAATATATACATATATAATAATATCGAAATTAGCAGATTCTTCAAAGAGTCTCATTAGAAGACACAAAATGCATTTAAATAGAATATAATCATTGTAATCGAAAATAATTTTAGTATGAAATACACTTATAATTAAGATGATCAATCACATACTCAAAAACTACAACGAATGTACTTTTACCTTTTAAACTATACGAACTAATTTTATAACAGTGCATTAAATTAAAAATATTTAAACATCTGTAATCTTTAAATAACTAAAAATCTTCAACTCCAATTACATGAAACATTCACAAGACTATCTCAATTTTAGCCACTAAAATTGATCTCCTTTTAATACTGGTTTATTAAATTTAATGCACATATTTACTACATTTAAGACTACCGTTATTTTAACACTCGTTAATCATAAGCATTTTTCTTTTATCTCTATACTTCAAACAGATGACAAATCTATTATCTAGCGCTCAGGAAAAAGAAATATATATATATGTACGTATTAATAGGGTAATATATATATATATGTATATATATATATATACATTATAATGTATAATATCGAATCTATTTCCACAAGTAAATATAGAAAAAGGTACATATATGCGTATTCCTTTTTTCCGTCGAATACTTAAAAGGAGTACGAAAGAATCCAGATAAAATATCAAAAATCACCTTGATTTTCTTTCCTGCCCCTATCGCAAATATAAGAAAAACCTGTCAACGAAAAACGCGTACACACATATACATAAACATCCATGTAAGAAGTACGAAGAAATTGAGGAAGGGATTTAGAGGTCGCCTCGTCATTCCTTCCTACTTCTTATCAAAAAAAGAGAAAGACAATATCTGCTCCCCTAATCCTCGAGCAGATAAATTTAAGAAATAATCAACTCGAAATCTATTAATTCAGAACCACAGAAAGAAAAGAATCAACTATTTAATGCGTTGCAAATGTTGTGCATCCCCAACATTTGTCTAAGGTGGGGGGTGTTACGTCCTGACGACTCCACGACTTTTTTCTTTATTGGAGAGAATTTGTTTCTCAAATGCGAATCACTTGCAGTACCCCTAGGATAGAGAGTCAACAGCATGACCGATCGAAGATCGATTCTTAATGAATAAAATAATTAATATCAACCCAAATAACTGCAAACATTAAAAACTAAAATAAGTATTAATTATGGATGTTTGAATCACACATGCACGCCTAGTGGCAGTATGACTCATAGAATGAAAAATGTGTCTAATCACTTC